CCCCAAAACCCCAAAACCCCAAAACCCCAAAACCCCAAAATAAAATAAGAGTCTTGAACTTATATCTTATATTATATCCACAAAAATGCTAAGGTCGTTCAGATTAGGACATAGAATCCGAACTTTTGGAAAGAGATCTATATTCTCAAGTAAGAATCATCCATTCTATGGCTCTGCCTGCTAGACTAGAAGAAGCAGAGCTTTCTTGTGCGACAATTTGAGCTTTATAACATTTTTATAGCTGCATCTTATCAAATGAAAGTTCTAGACGGAGATGTGAACCTGCACTCTCCTATATTCAAGCAGAACTTAGAAGAGATGAAGGCCATCAATGATGATCTTGATGCCAAAGTGCACACTATTCTTCAAGGAGGAGGGGAGATCGCTCAGCAAAAGCTAGTAGAGAGAAAGAAGCTTAGAGGTAAAATTTGTTTTCCTCGTGGCTAATCTTTTAATAGTAAGAGACAGAATTCAAGCCGTCATTGATCCAGGAGCTCCATTCCTTGAGCTCAGTCAATTCGCAGGATATGAGATGTATGGTAAAGATCATGTCCCATCCGGAGGAGTTGTTACTGGAATTGGTCTCATTCATGGCAGACAATGTATGATTGTAGCAAATGATCCAACTGTGAAGGGAGGTACTTATTATCCCATCACTGTTAAAAAGCATCTTAGAGCTCAAGAAATAGCCCAAGAGAATAACTTGCCATGCATTTATCTCGTTGATTCAGGAGGTGCTAATTTGCCAAGACAAGATGATGTTTTCCCAGATAAAAATCACTTTGGAAGAATCTTCTTCAATCAGGCTAGGATGTCCTCAATGGGTATTCCACAGATTGCCATAGTGTTGGGAAGCTGTACAGCTGGAGGAGCCTACGTCCCAGCAATGGCTGATGAAAGTGTCATTGTCCATAAAAATGGAACCATTTTCCTTGGAGGGCCTCCATTAGTCAAAGCTGCAACAGGAGAGGAAATCAATGCTGAAGATCTTGGAGGAGCCACTGTACACTCAGAAATGTCCGGTGTCACCGATCATTTCGCTGTAAACGAAAAACATGCCCTCAAACTTGCAAGGGATATTGTTAGCAATCTGGAGACAAAGTCTTATTTGGAAGAGAATAGCCATGGGAGAATTCAAAGTGAGGAACCTTTATACGACCCTGAAGAATTGAATGGAATTCTCACAACCAACTTCAATAGACAAAATGTTGATGTCAAGAAGGTCCTCGCAAGAGTTTTGGATGGAAGCAAGTTCCACGAATTTAAAGAGAAGTTCGGAAATACCCTAGTTACAGGATTCGGAAGACTCTACGGATACCAAGTTGGCATTGTTGCTAACAATGGCGTGTTGTTCAGCGAGAGTGCCCAGAAGGGAGCTCATTTTGTGCAGCTATGCTCCCAAAGAAACATTCCTTTGCTCTTCGTACAGAACATTACAGGATTCATGGTCGGATCTAAATATGAAGCTGAAGGTATTGCCAAGCATGGAGCAAAACTCGTGAGTGCTGTAGCCTGTGCTAACGTTCCTAAAATTACTACTATCATTGGAGGATCCTTCGGAGCTGGAAATTACGGAATGTGAGGAAGATCTTACTCTCCAAGATTCATGTACATGCTTCCAACAGGAAGAATCTCAGTCATGGGAGGTGAGCAAGCAGCTGAAGTCCTCACTCTTGTAAAGAAAGATGGTCTTGAGAGAATTGGCAAAGAATATCCAGACGAGGTCAGAGACAAAGAAAAAGAGGCTATCAAATCAAAGTATGAGAAGGAGGCTGATGTCTATTATGCTTCTGCCAGACTTTGGGATGACGGTGTTATTAAGCCATCAGATATGAGAAGAGTTTTGGGAATGAGCCTTATCGCCTCTCTTAATTCCAAGATTGAGGATACTAAAGCAGGTGTATTCAGGATGTAATTTTAGACATATCAACTCAATATTATTTAACAAGTCTGGGGTTTTGGGGTTTTGGGGTTTTGGGGTTTTGGGG